ATAATCAGAAAACCCTAATTTCATAATCAGAAAACCCTCATTTTTAAATCAAAAACTCCTAATTTCAAAATCAGAAGCACGAAAGTTTACGAAATCAGAAGATATCGAATTTTTCTAATTTCAAAATCAAGCAATCGACTTTCCCTAATTTTTCAAATCACAATCACGACACTTGACCAAGAACCCTATTTTCGAAACCACGTAGCATAAGAACCCTAATTTTAGGAATGCAACTATTGGATTTCAAGATAATAACCTTTAATCGACGGAGATTCGAAAAGTACCTTATGCGCCATCGAAAAATCGAGAAGATTGTCGCTGTAACTGGAACCCTAGCTTTGGAATATCGAAATTTACTCCTCCAATCTGCTCGAACATTCAGGACAAACAAGAACTTTGTAATGCGCCATCTAATTTTACAAATTAATAGTGGAAAAATCAGCAATTTTTTCAAGATCGATCGAGTGTTGAAAATTGGAATATTATCGGGGAGAGAGAGGGAGAAGAGAGAGAGAGATAATTTCAAAGTTTATGTTTTTTTGTTTCAGATGGGGTGTGACTTCTCAACTCACAAGGGCATAACGGGGCGTTTGACAAAAACGTAACGGTGTTAGCACTCAAACGTAACTTGGGGAGAGTATGCTGTCCAAAGTTCAATACAAGAGGTTTTGGCGCAATTTTTAAATTACAGGGGGATAACGCGCAGATTTAGTATAATACAGGGGGTTTGGTGCAATTAACCCCATAATTTTAACTAACCATCACTTCCAATCATTTTTTTTCTTACTTTTACATCTTATCAACTTTAATTATTTTATTTTAAATATTATTTTAATATATTCACTAACAACTAGTCATACCAATTTTTTTCAAAACTATCTATAGTTAAAGAAAAATCAATTAATTTCTAGATAAATTCATAAACAACCACCCCCTTAGTGGCCAGAACATCAAAGTCAATAGATATAGCAACAGAATCGAGAGCAGGAGTGGTTGCAGGTTTTCTAGTAAAAGACTTTTTTTTTTTCCTTTGCACTATTCTACACCAATAGAAGAAGGTAATATATTCACCTCCACTAGTTGAGGATCATCCAGAGCTTTGTCAGCTAAAAAGTTCTCCTCAACAGGAATATCTCCCTCAGAACCCAAAAAACCCACTTCACTCTCCTTCTACAACTACAAGTTACCTTTTATCATCAATAGTTTTTCTCTTGATTTATCTGCCCTTAAACTCCATTCCTCTACTACACTTTTACCCAAGCTAGGATTAGGGGCTTTATACCCCCTGGCTCACTATCTTGACTACCAGAACCAAAGCTATAAGAGCCTTTACTTTCAGTAGAGGTGAAAGAGCTCACTCTAATCCATTCCCCGAATTGGTATATGTTAAGCATATTATTGTGAACATCATCTTGTTTTTTCAGGATATTTCGATCATAGTGACCTATTTTACCACAATAGTAACAAAAACCTTGAATATTCTCATACCTAAAGTCAATCAAACGGTTCTCAGTCCCCACTTTGATATTAGTGCCTCTAAGAATGAGGTCATTCAGCTTCATCTCTACAAACACCTTCGAGATTTGGCCATGTACATTGTCGATTCCTGGTAATAGTAATTCGAAGTTGCTCGTGTAGGGTTTAACCATATTATTAGGCCGCTCGTGTAGGGTTTTTTAAAGTCAGTTTTCCGAGCAAACAAGCCATACTTGAAATTAAGGATTGTTCATATATTTGAAAGAAAATTCGAAGTGAAGTTCAAAAATGTGTTGGAAATTTACAAAATTGTGTTGGAAATAAATTTCCGACACATTAAAAAAGATAAAAATGTTAAATATATCTCTACTATCCTAAATGTGTCAATGTTTCTGCAAAAATTCAAGTAGACTAAAT